CGATAGAAACTGCGGCTTAATGGGAAATTTGGCTTTAGAAAAGTTAGAGCGATCTTGTTTCTCAGCTAGCTCACCTCCTAGACAGAGCAACTAACGCGGGTTAAAATACTTCTGGTTGGGTTTCATCGTTCTGACATCACACTTCCCGGAACCCGGTGATGCTTGTTGGCAACAGGCAAGCTGAGCCAAGAGAAAGATAGTCTTCGATGCTCTTGGAAAAACCAACTACAAGACCCATCAAAAAAACCAAAAAAACAGTTCTGACTGCAGGTGCCTTTGAACTGGAAGAGGTGGGCAGGAAATCAACACAGGTATAAGACAGTTAGCTTGATTACAGGTTATTAATACACGAGTCTATGCGGGGGGAGGAGGGGTCCTTTCTTTAGAACACTGTGCGCAGGGATGGATGAGTGGCTGGGAGGTGCAGAGTCCACCGGAGGGTTCCCCAGGCTGGAATGGCGCCCCAGGTCCCAGGGGGGAGGATGAGAGTGTGTGGGAGACAAGTTCCCTGGTGGCCGTGGACGGAGGGGAGGGCGGGGCACAGAGTCACACGGCGGCTTTGTGCCTGCCCCCGCAGCACCTGCACATCACTCCGCAGTGGTAGCAGGCCCGAAGGGGCAGGTAACAGCACATACAGGGGGCCAAGAAAGACAAGGCAATAAGAGCCATCCACCGGAGGCAAAACTTCTCGTCGCTAGTGTCGCACGAGCAGGGGTCTGTATAGTCGCCCTCGGGGTCCGACATACAGTGATAGAGCAGGCTGTCCGCACACCACATACAGCTCACCCGGCGGATGCAAGTTCTCACGGAGTCGGGCGCGTCCTGGCAGTGGCCCCTCCGGTTCTCCTCGTGGTTGAACATGTCCCTGCAGTACTCGCACCGGGAGCGCTCGCCGTCCTCCTTCCGCCGCCGGGATTTGCCCCGCGAGGGCTGGGTCTTGATCACGCCGCCCCCGCGCCCTTTGGGGTCCTCACCGAGGCCGAAGTCCGAGGAGTCCACGTAGGGGTAGTTATAGTCGTGCTTGGGGACCTCGCCCTTGGCGAAGCGCACGTAGGAGTCCGCGTCCTCGGCGGGGTCCAGGGCCTTGCGCACGGGCGCGTGCCGGTAGTCCTCGTAGCCCGTCACCCAGATCTTCTCCCGGGGGTTGATGCGCACGATCTCCTCGTCGTCGTCCGGGAAGCTCACCTGGCGGTAGGGCCGGGGCATCGGCTGCCCCAGGAGAAAAGAGACAGTATTTTACAGCAATGGCATAAAAAGAGAAAAGAATCCAATACGTACCTTTCACCTTGACAAAGGCATTTCTGGAAGAAACTGACCCGTCCTGTAATGACTGAACATCTTATGGGTCAAAGATGGATTTCAAACTGTGAGTCTCAATCCTTTCCTGGGTCCGGAATCAACTGAATGGGCAGAGACCAGCTTTTATCCTCCCCCTTGTTTTGATTACCATCTAGGTGGGAAAGTGTGCCCACTGTAAGAATAGTCTGAATTTTCAGAAGCTGGACACACCCAGGTAAAGAAGCAGAAGGTGAGGCTGCCTGCTAGCCTGATTTCTGCCTGGTTTTTGGACAGTATGTTCTCTGTTGTAGGATCAGCTTTTTTCTTCTTCTTCTTCAGTGAAATAGACGAATACTGAGTACACTGCATGTTAGAAGGATAAGTACTTTTCATAATCTATGTATATACAATACGTGAGCCGTGGGTCACCATATAAAATGCATTTCTCACTGTGGATCGTGTTCAAAAAAAGCAAAAGGGGGCTACCAGGAACTATAAGAACCGTGTAATCCGGTTGGGAAGAGAAGATGCCCAGATAACAGAAGGTTAAGAGCGCAGGCTCCGGAGGCCGGCTGCCTGGGTTCGAATCCTGCCAGGATCGCACAGATAGTGAGTGACAGAACTGGAACCTGGGCCTAGGCAGCTGCGACCCAGAGCCACACCCTCCAGCCCCCACACCCCAACTGCATTCTCCCTTAGGGCCAAGCAGTAGTTGGTTTTCCACCTTACAAGTCCTTTGGGCATGAAGGCTTTTTAAGGGGGAAAGAGCATGGTTCTGAGCAAACCCACTGGAGTCAAATTCGGGCTGTGCAATTTCCCGGCAAGTGGCTATGCCTCAACCTCAGTTTCCCTGATTGCCAGACTGCATAGGGCTGTTGTGAATGGAGAGGAGGAGTCTACGCAGTGTTCGCACTGAGTCTGTCACACGGGATGTGCTCGATACCGGCTGTCATTGTCGTCCTTGTAACAGTTACAGCATTTTACATGGCAGTTGGGTTTCCCCATCGCTTCCCACCAGACTGGGAGCAGGGCCACCTCTCACACCCTTTGCCCTAATTCCCCTGAGAGCCTTGACATGAGAGCTTCCTGGGCTTCAGAAAAATCACAATCCTGTAGGATTTCAAAACGGATCTTGGGAGCTGTCACAGGCTTTGCTAATTTTTTATTTTGCAACGTAAGGAGAGCCAAGAAGCCAGTTCTTATGGATTGCTACCATAATTTGATTTAAAAAAATTTTGTTAATGCCAAACTGTTGGGAAGCATACAACAAAAAGATTTTTAAAAAGAGTCATATAAACCTAGCTTTATGTTAACTGTGCTCCTTTTTTCTCTTTTCAAAGCAGACCGGTGGCCACATCACCCTACACGGGCAGCAGTCCCAGCCCCACAGGTTGGGAACCTACTCTGCAAAACAGCCACTCGGTAAATATTTGTTGAATTACTGAATTCCAGACTCCATCTCCCTGAGCAGGCCTGGGCCTGCAGCCCGAGCCGCCAGGGCGTGAGCCAGGTGTGCAGCGTTCTTCAGGCCTGATCGGGAGGCCCTCTGCAGGGGGCAGCACAGCGCATGGGTGAGCACAGACTTGCATTTGAATCTGTTTCACCAGGGACTCGATCTCTCTAAGCCTTAGCTTCCTCATCTACAAAGTGGGGAGCCGAGGACCTGCCTTGTGGGGCAATTTGTGAGGATTAAACGAGATACAGTACAAGGATTCTGGCCCACAGAAACCTCTAAGCAAGGGTGAGCTGCCATCACCGCCAGCGATGTGGGGCGGGGTGGGGTGGCACAAAGTAGCACGGAAGGGCCTAGGCTCGGGGAGAGGAAGGAGGCCTTCCAGCATTGGGAGCCACCCACCCCGATGACCCCCGAGGACGGAGACTACCGCTCACCTGCTCGAGGTGATAGTGGTCCGCGGGGTATGGGTCGTGGAGGTGGCCCAGGGTGTAAATCCTCCGGTGCTCACAGGATGTGGGAGAGGAGATTGTCCGGGTCGGTTGTTCCCTCTTCTGAGAGGAATTAGAAGAACTGTCTGTAGCTGTCTGTTTAGAGGGAGGTAACCAAGAGTTAATTTGAAACAACCAAACCCACACACCAAACCCTCGCATGCCGTCTGCCCGCCTTGTGGCATCTTGCAGGGCTTCCCGAAATCTGGAGTTTATCCTGGCTACCCGAGGCGGGAGGACCCCCGAAGGGCGAGATTGTCTAAACATGATGTGGCCGCCAGACCCTGGAAAGTTCGGTTTGTTTTCTCGAATGTGGGAGCAGCGACCAGGCTTTGGGGCCAGGCTACCACAGCAGGCCTCCCGCGGGTGCAGCCCAGTTGGTCAAGGATGGTTGTCCCATTTGTAGCGCTAGTTCCAAGGCACTCTGGTGAGCAGGGGAGGTGCAAACACGAAAAAAAATCAAACCCAAATGTTGACATGTGTGGCTAGTCCCAGCCTGAGAAAGAGAGAAGGATACCGTGGGGTATCATGGGTACTGGCTTTCCAGAAATTTTATAGGACATCTTTGGGGTCCACTTTAAACTGGTAGCAAGATGGACGACTGCAGAGGGTTAAGGCTTCCAGAGCTGTCTCCCCAGCAGCGGTATCCAGTTCAGCCCGGAGCCTACCTGATGGTGTCTTGGGAAGGTGATCAGATGTTGGGATGGACTGTGGCCAGAGCTCAGGGGGGGCCCACCGCCTCCCAATATATCTACCACCTGGGTGCTTCATGCTCCCGCCTAAGCCTCAATAAAGGGGGCCAGGTGATGGTCACCCTCCACAACCACTCCCACCCCCCACATGCTCGTAAAAGACTTAAGTCTTTACAACCAGGGCACCCCACCTTTCACCTCCAAGGAGTCGAGGACCCTTCCCCACCTCCAAACAAATGAAAAGGTTTTTCTTGTATCTAGAAACTTCTTCCTCTCCTTGGCTGGCTGTTGCTCTCATAGTCCCCTTATCTTTTTATTCTACATGTCTTTTGTTCGTGTCATAAATCCTTTTGGGGGCAAGGCAGGGTTTAAACAAATAGAGTGATAGTTATTTTTACCCCTCTGCCCATTTATAAAGAAGTAAATGCTCAGAAAAATGGGACTACAGGTATTTAGGAAAAAGAAGACTCATTTCCATTACGCAATAAACTGCTGTTAATTTTTAAAACTTGGCGGACATGTGCAGCTTCCCTATAGGACCCAATCTGCCTGGATTTTTCCTCTTGGTTTGGTCCAAGTGATGCGGGGCTGATGCCTGTGTCCAGTCCCTCCACCCACAGTGGCTAATCCAGATGTGGACACATGGTCCTCTCAGGCAGTACAGAAAGATTTTTGACGGAGAGTTCAGAAAAGATGCTGACTTTTTACCTCAAGTTAAGACCTAAGGGTCCCGTAAGCCTGGAATGGTGGTGAGGGCACTGGGGAAGCACCTTCTGGATGAGGTGAAGCAAAACCTAGAGAAGGCCACCCCCATGGACACCATCTGAGCTTTGGGGTCCAGTCAAGCCTGAATCCTGACCCACTGTTTGGTAACTGAAGCCAGATGTGCTGGGCTCACCACGTGGGTGCACTTCTCCTCCCTCCCGATCCCAGCTCTGAGGCAGCAGCTCCACCTGCGTCACTCCCCTGGCCTCTCTGTGACCCAGACTCCTCTCCACAACGGGTGGGGTGACCTGGGCGTGCAGCCTGCTACCTCCCTCCTCTGCCTCTTGGGAGCTACCCAACTGGCGAGCAGCCATTCTGGGACTGTGGGGCCCACCGTGGGGAGGCTGCAGACCCAGCACCCCTGTGCCTGGCGGGGTGGGTCCTGAGACACCCGCTTCCTGCAGATGTCAGCCAGGACCATAAAGGGTCCCCCCAACTGGTTCAGAACTCAGATAGGAAAGAATTACTATTAAATATCAGTAACTGCAAGAGACCAAGCTGACACACAAGAATTTTTTCCTTTCTTCCACACTCTGCTTGTTGTCCAGCTCTCACCCACTTTGCTGTCGATCCGACAACAAAGCCCAGAACTCCCCCGTTAGGAGAGTGGGTACCATGTGCCAGGGGCTGGGTACACGTGAACAATCGCAGGTAAAATATCGTCTCCACATCACACAGAGGCAGGACCTGCTGACCGGCAGTGGCTAACCCAGATGTGGACACCCTGACCATCAAGCCCCCTGGAGTTCAGTACCCCAAACCCTGCTTCTCACACTCAGGTGAGCCCATTCCAACGCCGCCTCTGCGAGGAATTGTGTTCACCTCAACGAAAGTACAACTTCACGTCAGAAGGTGCACCCTGCGTGACAGAACCCAGGAGATAAGGGATGGCGTCACACGATACAAAGGTTTCCAAAGGTCTCAGTAAGCACTTCCTGAATAAGCAGATAAGGGCCCTCAGTATGACTCAGATCTCAGGGGTTAAATTCTTATCCAACACCCACAGGACGGTCATCTCTGAGGTTAGAAGCTACCCGAGTGCTGAACACGGTAACATGCACTCAGCACTGAGGTCTCGGAAACCAGTTAACACATCGCGGTCACCTCTGTGTTAGTCAGCTGGTACCCTCATCCACCCCAGGGCCAGGTTAACAATGTGTAGGAAGTCATTCTGAGAAATGGGGCACACCCAGTTTTCCCGGTATTCATGAGCCAATCAGAGATGCCCCCGTCTGACCTCCCTAGGCCCAAACAGCCCTTCCCCCCTGCACGGTCAAGTGCAAAGCTTCCCAAACGTGAGGCCGAGGAAGGCCTTTCAAGGTCTCCTAACCGAGTGACGGGTTTGTACAAAGGAGCAGGAAAGCCAGCAAACTTTGAGGTATGCCCACAGTTCACCGGTTCCCGAGGGCCCTGCTGAGGGTACGGCCTGGCCCAGCCCACAGCCTTCCCTGCCAAACTGCTCGGTGTGGGTCTGGACTCTGGAGAGGAGAGCCTGCCAGAGAGGCTCCACGGGAAGCCGAGGTTGTGTCAAATCTATACTATCAGACAGATCTTGCAAGCGGTGTGACCTGCCGACAAGAGGAATGTCCTATCAGGGCATCTCCAAGAACAGCGAGGGGAAATACCTCCTACCCACATGCACCGCTGACCTAACTGCTCGTGGTTTCCACTCACAGCCGGAGGACAGCAGCCACCTAAGCTGTGCGCACGCGCACACATCCACAAGCAAGATTCTCGAATGTCACTGTTACTTGTGTGCACAAGCTCATGACACCTACCCACCTGACAGCTTCTCCTTCGACTCGGAAAGACTGCGGCTGCGTTTTAAACTCGCCCTGCTCTCCGGAGGGTGTCTCTCAACTGTTGCAGGTTTGAACTTACCCACCTGACAGCTTCTCCTTCGACTCGGAAAGACTGTGGCTGCGTTTTAAACTCACCCTGCTCTCCGGAGGTTTGAACTCGGGAAGAACAAAAGCAGAGGCCCTCAGCCCCCCTAAGAGGGACAGCTTCAGCGCCAGGCTTCCCCGAGCCACCGCACCTGCACAGATCTCCTCCACAACCAGCCTCCGAGTTTGACTGACTCAGTGTCAGCGCCCATGATGAAAACGATGTCCAAGGAAGAAGGTTGCAACGTAACATGAGGGCCGAAGAAAAGAAAGGTGATGGAATATTATAATGTTAAATATCAGGGTCTCAGCTCCGGCAGACTGGATTTGAATCATTCTCTGCCAATTATAAACTGCATGATTTTGGTCAAGTTAACGTCTAACTCCAGTTTTCATATCTGCAAAAATGGAGCTGAAATTGTCCTCAGAGCTATTACAAAAATGAAATGAGATTAAACATTCTCATTTTTTAAACTGTTACTGCCGATTACCGAAAAGTTTTTGATTCTGTTGGTTCGGTATCTGGTCACCTCGCTTAACTCCTTATAGAAGTTCACATAGTTTACATAGTGACTTTGGGTTTTTCTCAGTAAATCCTGTTACCCACAAAGGGTAGTTTGGCCTCTTTTCCAGTTTTTATACCTTCTTTTTCTTATCTTATTGCAATTTTTGCCAGGGCTTCCAGCATGATGTGGAACAACAGAGGCGATAGTGGCCCTGCTTGTCTTTTTTTAAAATTGATCATATATATATTTTTATTTCTTTATTGATTTCAGAGAGGAAGGGAGAGAGAGAAACATCAATGATGAGAGAGAATCATTGATCGGCTGCCTCCAACATGCCCCCTACTGGGGATCGAGCCTGCAACCCAGGCATGTGCCCTTGGCTGGAATCGAACCTGGGACCCTTCAGTCCGCAGGCCAACACTCTACCCACTGAACCAAACCGGCTAGGGCACCCTGCTTGTCTTTTTAAAAGGCACTTTAAAAAATAAATTTCCAATGATTATTGTAAAAAGTCACATATTTTGAGTAATTAACAAGCTTGTGTGACCCTCTAACAGGGCAGTAAGCCGAGACAAGACCTTGATAAGGAGAACAGAGAAAGAACAGGAGAGTGGGAAGGGAAGGGAAGTGGAAACGAGAGTTCAGGGTACTGAGATGAAAGGGTGGGCACTGCTAACCTTAGAAACACTGAACAGAGCCCCGACCAGCCTGACCAAATCCACTCTGGTAGTACCAATACCCATCCCTTCCCTGAAGGGTTTTTGGGTTTGGGCTGGGTGCTTTGTGGGATGTGGGTTCACAGAAGGTGACATGGGCAGGGCAAGGCCAGGAAGCTTCCCTGAGGAAGGACATTCTAGATGGGTAGACAACCCAGACCAAGGCCCAGAGGAAGAAAAAAAGAGGCTCAAATTTATCAGTGAACATCTGATAAACTCCTTTAAACACTGTAAGCTTCCAATGTCTGAACTCGGCAGACGTAAGTTGTACTTAGTTTGAGAATTCAGGTATTTCCTTTGAGAATTCAGATAATTCTCCAGAATTTAATTTAACAAATAAGAGGAAAACCATGGAGCTTCGAAAGTTGATAGGCCTTTCTTCTGAAGAACTGACTTGAATGTTATGCTGTCTTGCCAGTAAGTCAAAATCTGAAGTACAAAAGACACTGGGTGGAGGCCGCCTGTTCCCCAAGGTCAGTGCTACCTGTGTGGGCAGGACTTGGTCTGAATGGAGAAAGGGGAGAAGATCAATGCCTAAAGTTAAAGCTGTGGCTGGCTCCCTTCTATGTTATGGGCATATTTTGTACAATAGGATTTCTTACTCGTGGAAAGTTGGCTATTCTTCCCTGACCTATGGAGGGCCCTTGAGTTGACCGGGAGGTTCTTGAAGAAGCATGTGCATTTGTTCGCGTGCCCTGGGTCCGGGAACGAGCCTCCTTCATTTGGAAGGTGAACCTCTTTGACCAGGGGAAGCTCAAAGAGGGAGGGAAAAAACCAAGAGGCTAAGCCAGGTAAGAAGGCAATTTGCTTAAATTAAGTTACCCATCTGGGATAGGATCCTAGCTGCAGACCAGGGCTTTCTGGGGCATTCTGGGTGGGTCAGACTATACATTTCAAAGTAAAAGAAGTGTTTTCAGGACTATGTGCATCCCCTTTAACTCCCTTGGGTTTTCCTGCTAAATCCTTGATTTTCCAAAAGGGGTTGGGAGGTACAGAACAAAGGCAGCAACAGCTGGCAGACAGTGGCTAGGGGAGAGAAAGGTGTGTCCAGGGCTGATTTTTCAAGGACACTTGGAACTATTAAGGGGCTCCTGGTTTATAGCTTTCCCGAGTAGGACACTCCCACTGAGTGTATTGGTGAGACTACGAGAAGGCTGGTGTTCGTCAATTTTCTCCTCCCTTCTGGGAGAGAGGCAAGCAAGCAAGTACAGCCACTTGATCATCCCCGTGTCTCCAGAACACGAGCCGACGGAAGAAAGTGCACAGTGCATGGAGCCAAGCCCACTCGGCGGCCACTTCCGGAGGCCAGTGGACCTGGGTGTTTTCAACAGGCATAGGAAAGACAGGCAAGAAACTGCTCGAGGAGCCCGACCACAGCATCTGGGGATCACACAGCAATGCTAGGCAAACATAGCTCAATGCAGAGAGAAGTGGACAACCCTGATGCCAGGCCAGGCCATTCATCTTAGACAAGTTGTTGAACTTCTTTGGGCCTCAGTTTCCTCATGTGTAAGATCAGGGGTGCTACTGGGTGATCCCCAAGGTCTATCTGGGCTCTAACAATTTCATGTGTGATCCTCCTCCCTCTGCCTAAGAATATGACAGGTCAGAAGGGTTTGTCTAACACTGTTGCTTAGCTGATTGAAGAGCCACAGGATATATGTCAACTATAACTCAATAAACACAAATAATAAATAAAAGTCATCACCATGCCCCCCCACCCCCAAACTGCCAGAGGATTCACTCGGATGATTAAGTAGAATTTCTGCCATCTATAGATGCTGCTATTTTGAATTTTTAAAGATGGATTACTGGGAGTTATGACCACAATTCGTATTATTTTTACTGCAATCCACCACCAAAATAGATCTCGACATCTGATGCATTCTTCCTATAGCAAGGGCTGCTCGTTTTATTTCTTTTAAAAAGTATGCACACACACAGAGTACATATAAATACAAATGTATGCCATTCCTCTCCACCTCGGGCTGGGAGACTAGACTGATCACATAAAACTCTGGGCTGCTTCTGCCTATCAGGAGACAGTGACCTGGATGGCCGAGGGCCCAAAGGCTCCTGGCTCAGGGGGTGTGGACGAGCTGTTGTTTCTAACTCTTCAGCAAAGCATACCTTCTGCTCCGTATTGACCAGACTGACAGGCCTGTGGCCAATCCCTTTTCCTCTGCTAACCAGGAAGTTACCACCAGGTCTCTGGGAACAGGTAGCACTGGCTCACCTGTCCTGAGGGCCTACATGGGTTCCAGGTGTCCTGTTTCAAAGAGGCAAGCAGAGCAGAAAATCGGCCAGGAACATGCTCTTCTGTGGTCCCAGCTAGCAGGCAGTTTGGGCCTAAGAGGCAGCTGCTTGGGGAAAAGAGAGAACTCGGTCCTAGGGCATTAATTACCCTCTCTGGGACCCAGGGAATAAAGTGGGCGTTCTTTCATTGGGAAAAAATCCTATGTAATAAAAGGATAATATGCAAATTGACCTTAATGGTGGAATGACCAGAATGACAGCTCAACCAGTCACTATGAGGCGCACTGACCACCTCTCTGGCCTTTTCCCCAGCCGGCAGGCTCCAATCGCCTGATGGCGAGCGGGGAACCGGGGGTGGATGATGGGGGATGTGGGTGGTGCCAGGCCAAGGCCCCTACCCCGCTGGTCGCCCCACACACAGAGGGCAACCCACGACGGGGGTGGGGCCGGCAAGTGGACGGGAATGGTCAACCTCTTGGTTCCTCCCCCTGGCTGGCAGGCTCCAATTACTCGATCACTTGATGGCGAATGGGGAACCGGGGGCGGGTGGCGGCAGGGGGCGGGGCTGGCTGCAGGCAGCTAGGGAAGATGGCCCTTATTGTAGGCCAGGCCTAGGGACTGTACCTGTGCATGAATTTCGTGCTCTGGACCTCTAATAATAAAAAAAGGGAAATGTCCACATGTTTAACAAAATTTTATGTGTCTAGATTTTGAAGTCAGGTGAAAGCAAATTTGATATGAAAGGAAAGGACTGATAAGCCACAGCTTTGCTTCACTGGAAGGGCTGAGGGATGGGAGCAGGAAGGCTGGGTTTCAGGTAACCCTGACTACGTTCTCTGTATGAATTAGTAAAATGGAAATAATAGTAGCCTACTATCCACAGCTTAAAAAGATGAGATGACATACGTGTAAATGAAGAAAGACACACATGGAAGAGTTAGAGAAATGCCGTTGGCCTTCCTGAAATGGAGAGTGTTGCAAAGCTTTTGTTGGACATTGATTGCTTTAGTTTAGCCACTGTAAGGTATTACTTTTGAATAAAAAGATCCTCCTCTTACTATGTAATGTGAGCTTGATAACTGTCGTGTGGAAGATAAAGCAGCTCCCACCCATGTGGGCCTCTGCCTGTAGCAGTTATGGGGCACAGGGCTGCCCCTCCCAAACATTTTTGCCTTTCTTAACAAAGCACTGTAGACCAACTTCACTACATTTTATAGGATTTACATTTCCAACCTATTTTCCCCCCACGTCTCCCCCCCCCCCCCCCTCCCCTTCTGTCCCCATCCCTTCATTCCTTAGGGAGAGACAACAGAAAAGTTTCTGATCAGCTGATCTTCTAAAAGGAGGCTGGGGCTTCGAGGAGGAACCGGGGACCGTCTGCCTACACAGAGGTCTTAAGCCAGTGCCTTAGTTGAAATATCCATCATTTAGGTGGTTCTTTTGCAACAAAGGGGGACTCTGGTACGCTTGACAGGTAACATTTACTAAAACGTATTGAATAAGTATTGCCTTTTCTTACAGTTCTGGCTGAGCAGAGTGTGGAACTGAGCCTCGCTGAGCCTGGGTGATTCATCTGCAGACATGAAGTGCCAGGAGGTTACCTCCCAGGTGGCTGGGGGACAGATGCAGTGATGTATGTGCCAGTGTGGGCATAGTGCCAGGGCAGCTCCACACCCCAGTTCCTGGGCCAGCAGACAGAGACTCAGAAGAAATGTGTCCACCCTGAGGTTTTGTGTTCAAAGGATCAAGGGTCACAGCTAACTCACGGCAGAACCAAGTTCAGAATCCAGGCAGGCCTCTCCCTCACCTCAACTCCGCACTCTCAGGGGTCACACACCACTTCAGCTTTTATTGATTTTTTACAGAGAGGAAGAGAGAGGGATAGAGAGTTAGAAACATCGATCAGCTGCCTCCTGCACACCCCCTACTGGGGATGTGCCCGCAACCAAGGTACATGCCCTTGACCGGAATCGAACCCGGGACCCTTGAGTCCGCAGGCTGA